AAATAAAAAAATGTTTGGGCTGGATGGTGGTGCATGCCTCTAATCCCAGCACTCAAGAGGCAAAGGTAGGTGAATCTCTGAGTTTGAGGCCAGCCTGGTCTACAGAGCAAGTTCTAGGACAGCCAGAGCTACACAGGGAAACCCTGTCTCAAAAAAAAACCCACAAAGAAACAAATAATAATAATAATAGTAGTAGAAGTAATAATAATAATAAATGCTTAAAAATAAAAGCTATCGGGCTGGAGAGATGGCTCAGAGGTTAAGAGCACTGACTGCTCTTCCAGAGGTCCTGAGTTCAATTCCCAGCAACCACATGGTGGCTCACAGTCATCTGTAATGAGATCTGGTGCCCTCTTCTGGCCTGCAGTCATACATGGAAGCTGAACACTGTGTACATAATAAATAAATCTTAAAAAAATAAAAAATAAATAAAAACTATCAGCCAAGACTATGCAGAGAAACCCCGTCTCAAAAACAAATTAAACAAATAAATATAAATAAATAAAAATATTAAAAAGCTGGATGGTATCTGAAGAATGCCATTAGGCTGTGCCCTGGCCTCCACGCACACACACCCACACCCATAGTCTATGGTCATCCTTGGCTATACTGAAACCAGCCTGGGATACATCAAACCCCGTGTAAAAGCAAAACAAAACAACAGGAAACTGACCGGTGATGATGGGAACAACCTGGGAGTGCAGCTCCGTGTACTAGATGCAGCTCAGAGGATCACGTGTTATCTGACAGGACTCAGAGGTCCATCCTCACTTACAGTGACACTAGGGCTTTAATGGAAAGCAGCTGAGCTTCTCCATTCAAGGGCTGAAGAAACCACAGTGCACAGTGTCCCTAGCTATCCCAGCCAACCCGCAGTGATGGCTGTGAACTGTGAGATGAAGCCGTCACTGCAGGAAGCCAGAGCAGACACCTGATGCAGAGACTCTAGAGCAAAGCTGCTTGCCGCTTTGCTCCTCGTACCCTGCTCAGCCTGCTTTCTTATAAAACCCAGGACCACCAGCCCAGGAATGGCACTGCCCACAATGTGCTGGGCCTCCCACATCAGTCATTAATGAAGAAAACACACGACCATATGATGCATTCACCAGCATTTGGGAGGCAGAGGCAGACAGATCTCTTAGTTCGAGGCCAGCCTGGTCTACATCGTGAGTTCCAGGACAACCAGGGCTACACAGAGAAACCTCAGAAAAGGAAAAAAGTCTCAGGGGGGAGGAGAAAGAAAGAAGAAAGGAAGGAGGAAAGAAGGAAGAAAGGAAGGGAGGGAGGGAAGAAGGGAGGAAGGAAGAGAAGAAGGAAGGAAGAAGATGCCCCCTACAGGCCAATGGAGGCATTTCCTTAACTGGGGGTCCCTCTTCCCAGGTGAAGCTTGCATCAAATTGACAGAACAAGTTCAATAGTGTAAATACTACTCGGCCAGGAACAAGAGGGGACTGACCCCATGGCAATGCTTCTGAATCACAGTGGACAGAGTTCAAAGGTCACATATCAGTTATCACCGCGTGCCCCCAACCCCATCACCAGGAATGGAACCCAGACTCAGCCTTCTCTCTCTCTCTCTCTCTCCTCTCACTGAGCTTCATCCTCAGCCCCCATTTTTCATTACTTTTTCTTTTGAGACAGAATCTCAGTAGGTTGCACAGGCTGGCCTCGAACCTACGCTGTGGCTCAGTACAGCCTGGGTGTTTTGTTTTGTTTTTTTAGACAGGGCCTTGCCATGTAGCTCAGGCTGGCTTTGAACTCTCCACCCTTCTTCCTCAGCCTCCTGAGTGCCGGGATTGCAGATGTGCACCTGCATAGCCTCAAGGCTCGAGGCGGGAATGAACCCCGGGCAGATCACGAATGGGCCCAGAGACTCGTGGGATTTTGCCTTACTTGTGGTGGCTACACGGCTTTACACGTTCACCAGCCCATGAAAACGTGTGTGAAAAAAAGGGGTGAATTTCAGGAGACAGAAATTACACCTCTGTTTTTTTAATTAAGAAAAATGAGATCATGTTTCTTGCCGAAGCTTCGCATCAGGTTACGTGGAAAGATAATGTGGGTAATTTAATGCAAAATGCTCAAAGGGAAAATGTGGGTTATTTTAGATCTCCTTTTTAAAAATATCCCCTAACAAAGTTCCCTAGGAGCCGTTTTAAGCAATGCAGGCATTACAAGTAAGTATAGGTTGGCCCAGGACTGGAATCCCGATGCTGGAGGGGCTGAGGAAGGATTGGGAACCTGAGGCCAGCCTGGGCTACACAGTGAAACCTTAACTTAAATCAATGAACCAATCAAATTGAGCAGGATAGCGGTCTTGATTAGGGTCTCTATCACTGTGATGAAACACCATGACCAAAAGCAACTTGGGGAGGAAAGGGTTAATTTCACTCACAGTTTCACAGCATCAAAAGCAGTGAGGACAGGAACTCACACAGAGCAGGAACCTGGAGGCAGGAGCTGATGCAGAGGCCATGGAGGGTGCTGCTTACTGGCTTGCTCCTCATGGCTTGCTCAGCCTGCTTTCTTATAGAACCCGGGACCAACCAGTCCAAGAACGGCACCACCTACAGTTTACCTGGCCCTCATCAATCACTAATTTTAAAAATGCCCTATAGGCTTGCCCAGAGCTGGGTCTGATGGAAGCGTTTCCTCAACTGAGGTTCCCTCCTCTCAGAGGACTCTAGCTCTTGTCAAACTGATGCAAATCTAACTGGCACACAATCCTAGCACTTGGGAGACGGAGGTGGGAAGTCAATCCCAGGTCCCATGAGGTTAAGAAGAGAAACAAGTCTCACAAGTTGTACCCACACACCACACAGACACACATACACATGCACACATGCACACACACACACATATATACACATGCATGCACACACATGCACACATATGCACATATGCATGCACCCATGTAGATGCACATACACACTCGCAATACACATATACAGATGTATGAACATGTACATACACGTGCATGAACATACACACGCACACACTAAATTTTTTTCAAGACAGGGTTTCTCTGTGCAACCCTGGCTATCCTGGAACTCACTTTGTAGATCAGGCTAACCTTGAACTTACAGAGATCCCCTTGCCTCTGCCTTCCAAGGTATGAGCCACAATGCCTGGCAATAAAACAGTTCTCTTTTGCGGGGCGGGTTCGAGACAGGGTTTCCCTGTTTAACAGTCCTAGCTGTCCTGGAACTAGCTCTTGTAGACCAGGCTGGCCTTGAACTCACAGGGATTCACCTGCTTCTGCCTCCTGAGTGCTAGGATTAAAGGCAATCACCACCACGGCCCAGCTAATAATTCTTAAAGGTAAACAAAAGAAATCAATTTCTTCGAAAAGGAAAATTACAAGAAGCTAATGCAGGAGACTCATCATGGGTTAGAGACCAGCCTTGACTACATAGTTAAGCATGTGCACACTTGGTACAAAGTGAGACCCTGTCTCAAAGAAACTGTCTTGAATCCCCTCCCCCCCACCAAAAAATCAAAAATAGAAACTGAGATTTTCAAAAATCAGATGTGATGAGTCGTGTCTATAAACCCAGCACTCTGGAGGCCAAGGCAGGATGATTTCTGTGAGTTCAAGGCCAGCCTGAGCTACAAAGTTTAACCCTTGTCTCAAGGAAGTGCAGAAGAAAGGGAGGGAGGGAGGGGAGAGAGATTTGAACAGTCTGAAGCAAGTGACCAGTTCCTGCTTGCCCCTTCCAGTTGAATATACTGTGGACATTTTTTGTCAAGTCCTTTCTCCTACTACCAGCGCCTTGGGTTAAATGTTGTACTATGCAATGGAAGGCTTAGTATAATGTCTGACTGGAGTTAATCACTCAAACTGTGACAGCCTCTCCCTCCTCCACCCTTCAAGCACAAATCACAAGTCCTTTTCCCTGGTCACCTCTTCAGAGCAGCACTGTCCCCAAACCAACGTGGGGCCCTGTAAGGCATGGTCAGGATAGCCCCCATCGCCAGCACGGGCATGGAGACTCAAAGGACTGGAGACCCTCCTCAGCAGTTTTCCCAGAGTGATCGACAGTATACAGGGTCAAGCAAACAGTAGGTACCCAATAATTACTCTTTTGTAGCCCACAGTACTGGAGATAGAACTCAGGGCCTTGCATATGCCAGGGGAAAGCTTTAGCCTTGAGCCCAGTCTAGCCCTGATTATTCTCTGGTGTGCATGAAGGAGCAGACTGTTGCATGGTGATGCCCAACCCTACCTAGCCAAGAAAGGCTTGGCCACACAAGGACCTCCCAGAAAAGAAAATGTTGACCCAAGACCTGTGTCCTGTCCGCCGCTGCATCCAAATTTAGATAGGGGACAGCCATCCCCTCCCTTCCTGGTTGCTGTCTGTCCCTATCTGGGGTGGGCCCTAGGCTGCAACCTGGCAACAGAATGTTGCGCTATTGGCTGCCCAGGCAACCAGGGCTCGCTCAGCCTTGGGCTTCTGGGATTTCCAGGCAGGGGCAGCGCTCTCTGTCTAAGCCCCTCAACCTTGTAAGGCAGCTGGAGATCCCTGAAGGTGAATGGCAGTGGCATGGGAGGAGTACTTCCGACTGGTCTTCCAGGAGAAAGCGCCGGCGTGAGTGCTGCCAGGAGCGGGTGGGTGAGGTGAGAAGGGCGGTGAGTAGACAGAGTGGTCATCCCTTCTCCTGGAGTCCCTGCAGCCTTTGGGCAGCCTTGCGGTGGGCTGCAAAGGCCCTAAGAGAATCTCTAGCAGACCCTACACGTCTCCCCCAAGGTCTTGTTAGCCCCCAGCTGGTCACTGGGCTACTGGAATGGCTAGCCTGCTCCTGCCCCAGCCTTGGCCAGTATCTTAAAGAGATGAAATCCTTAAACCAGGGTGGAAAGGAGTTTTCCTGTGAGGTGCTGTGGAGTGGAGAAGCGGCATTTTAAAGATACCAGCCCTGTAACACTTTGTTTGGGGACAGTGGGACACCCTGGCCCCAAAAGCCAGTATCTGTAAAACTGGGAGGAGTAGACACTTCTGATGTGGGCAGAGCTGGGCAAGCATTGTTGAGTGAGATGTCAGACTCTGTCTGACTCCTTCCCATCCATCCGGCACCCACACTCAGCCTCTCTTGGACCACGCCCCACAGAGGAGGAATGCCCCCACTCTGGGCGGTCAGAGCAGGGACCAGTCTCTACACCCCATCTGTTCAGCCTATAGTCCTCCTTCAAAGTGACACCTTTACAGCTACAGAGGTCAGAGTTCATCTTTATTCCTCTCTCTCACCCCTCCCCGCTCCATCAGCTCTGCTGCCAAGCTGTACCCAGAATGGATCCATCCTCACCAGTCAACCCTGTCCGCCCTGATCAGAATGACATTCTTTCTGGGGTCCCTAAGCCCCACCACTGAGCACACACGGTCCCCAGCTCCTTAGAAGCCACAGGATTTTCTACTCCACTCAAAACTTGCACACGTCTCCCATCTCACCAAGGGTGGTTGCCAAGGTCTCCTTTCCCCTGGCCCACCGCTGTCTGACTTTGGACAGCTCTGATTTTAGTTTCCACCCGCCATCTCCTCTCTCCAGTCTCTCTCGACTTTATGGTTCCTTCAGCAAACCCAGGTGTTTCGCTGGGATCCTGGGTCTTTCTTGGCTGTTCCTTTGGCCTGGACTCTGTGCCCTGCAGCTGTCAGTGCAACTCACTCCCTGTGGCCCTGTCCCAATGTCTTTTGCTCAGAGAGACTTCCTGACTCCATATTGAAAACTGCCTCTGGCCTACCGAGCTTTACACGTCAGGGCCCCCCGTGTGGTGGAGCAGTGTTTGCTGTTATTATCTGTGTTAGCTGTCTGTGGTCCCGGGGGAGTATAGTTTCCAGCATCACGAGTTTCTGTCTGTCTTCTTGACGGCTGCAATTACTCTGACTAGGTACACTGCCTGGTATAGAACAAGTGGTCAGTAAACCTGTGAACAATTTAAAAACCCGAAAGCCAGTAGGCATGCCAGTCTCATCCTAACATTCAAGACGCAGAGGCTTGAGGATCAAGAGTTCAAGGCCGTCCTCAGCTACAAAGTTAGTTCAAGGCTAACCCCGCCTACAAAAAAAAAAAAACTAAACTAACTCAGTAGGTGGTGAGTGGGGCCATTCCAGGCATCCCCCAGAAGTCTGGGGCCCCAGATCTTCTTCTTGTAACCTCCTTCTCTTTGGGTCGCTCCAGGAAGCCGGTCGAGCAGAATGCGGTCCACTTTCCACCTCTGCTGCGCCTCCTGGAGAAGAAGCAAGAGCTAGCAGCTGCGGACCAGGGTCTGCGGGTCCAGAAGGAGGTGAGCCTCAGTTGCTGAAATTTGGGGTGTCCCCAGGCACACACTGGTGGTGCCCAGTGGGGGTTACACAGTCTGGGCAC